GTCAAGCAGGAAACTATTATAACAAAGCAAATGACTACTATAACCAAGCAGGACACTATATGGACCAAGGTGAAAGATTCTTTAACAGAGGATATAACCATGCACAACAATGGGTAAACAATAACCAACCTCAACCGCCTCAAACGTGGGGGATGTAAAGTTTTTTACTGAGATGAAATGAACAATACAGCATTGAGACAAATGGGTTCAAGATGGATTTGTCGACTTCCAGCAGTTACACAACGTGTTTGTCAAGTTCTTCCTATACCTCAGGAAGTTTTAGACCGACTTAAAAAACAACAACAACCAGTTGAAAAAACAACCAAACTAAATTTTTTTACTGAGATGAAATGACCGAAGAAGTTGAAACGGTAGATTTGACCACCACAAACAAAAAGTTTCAGAACCATTGTCAAAACCCGTCAAAGAACTTACAGATGAAGAGAAAAAATTCAATAATAGAAAGTGCCAGGTCTGGAAATACAAACCCTAACTACAAAGTCACTTTTCATAGAAATGGAACGGCAAGTATCTCAAAAAAGAAACAGACTCTCACAAATAAAATATTGAAGTCTGAAGGAGCTTTCGAGACAACAGATGGAAAAGTTACTTCACTGACCAACAGTTCATTATAGAACATCTCATTGACTTAGAGTCGAAATATTCTAAACTTTACAACAAACACAAAAAGTTGAAAGGAAAACAAAAACAAATGGCATATGATATTTATGAAGATGTTGACGACACAACTGTTCCTGCAGGTGAGGTAAAGTCAGAGGAACCGAAAAGTGACGAAAAACCGATAGAAGAAGAAAAACCAAAAACTGAAGATAAACCAAAACCAAAGTTTAGTTTCCAAAACTAAACCAAGTCAACCTTCATTAGCTGGTATGGGTTGGCGTCAAAGACTATGGCAGCAGGCGGTTATGTAAAGTAAAGAAAAAAAATATTTTTTTATTTTATAAAAAATGCCCCCATATAGAATGGATAGAAAATCTGCTAGAATAAAAGCAGAGTTACAAAGATATGGTTGGAGAGTTTCGAAGAAGTTTAAATATAGGAAGGGAAGACCCAAAAAGTCTATGACAAATTGTCTGGTCTTCGCTACGAAATGGATTTGGAAACAGCACGTGCCAATTATCCAAACAGACTAGAGAGGTTAGAAGAAGAACGTCTTATGGACATGCCTTTCGATGTGTTAAACATTGCATGAAATAAAAAATTTATTTTTTAAAAAGTGACATTTTTTTATTTTATTTGAAATGTACGCTGAGTTTGTTGGAGAAGACCGTTGGGAAACTTGTTTGTTAGATGAGAAATATGAAATGGCATACCATTTTAAAACAATATATTTTTACATATATTAAATGCTTCAGGTTGAAAAACAAAGAACAAAAGTAGCAGATACAAAACCGTTAGACTATATCTTTACAAATGCTGTAGGACTATTTCAGATGAAGAAATTTCATCCCGAGCATACAGGTTTGACTATCCAATTCGTTGGCTTCAAAGTCCTTCAGATGCAAAGGCAATAGCATTTAGAAGAGTTTGTTTTTCAATAGAACTAACGCATTTATGTTCGCAGTATATTTTCATGGGCAGTATAAAGGTTCTGATGGTCTAATAGACAAATAGACAATTGACGAAATGAGAATCTTTACAGTTCGTTCAGACGAAAGTCTTGAGAAAACTCTAAATGACTTTCAAACTCAAATGAACAAATATTATTGGGAATTTCAAGAAAAATACGACTCTTTACTAAATGGGACATACTATCTGAAACTAGAATATGACAAGATGAACTCCACAGTTTCATTTCAAAAGATTGAAATTAACCCTCCAAGAGATACAGAGTTTTTATTTTGGAAAGTAGACAAACGTTCTTGGGCACAATTTCTTCGGTTACTAAACCAGAACGAACCATTACCACCAGATGGTCCATTTAAATTTATACTTCCACCAGCAGATTTGACAGTTTATAGAAACGTGTTTAACCCTCAAAATGTTATGTGTCATGCAAGTTTCAGTTCAAGCAACAATAGTTTTCTATGTATTGGTAAGGACTTTTATGACTTTGCTTCTAAATTCTACGAACCACCTAGTAACAGTTTCTCTGACTTTCAAGTTTGGTTCACAACAAATGGTGTGCAACATATTATTCCATTATACTATGACTTTTATCTCGAATTGTCTTTCATATATAACTACGGAAAAGTGCTGAAAAAGTATTGAAAAATAATGTTTATGTTAGCATGTTAGATCTAACACGTTTTCTAACCACTTTTCTACCCTCTTGAATTTTCATGACTTCTTCGTAAATGTTTTGTCAAACATGAACGTAAATGTTTTATCAAGACTTCTTCGTAAATGTTTTGTCAAGACTTCTTCGTAATGAGCGTAAATGACCCAAAAATAATGTTTAGGTGAAGAGGTGAGATCTCACCTGTTTTTTCACCTCTTTTTTCACCTCATGAATTTGTCATGACTTCTTCGTAAATGTTTTGTCATGACTTCTTCGTAAATGTTTTGTCAAGACTTCTTCGTAATGAGTGTAAAGGACCCAAAAATATAATTTAGGTGAAGAGGTGAGATCTCACCTGTTTTTTCACCTCTTTTTTCACCTCTTGAATTTTCATGAATTTTCCCGAAATAAAAAATAAAGTTAGTTTTATTTTTTTTTATTTTTTTATTTTGTATAAAAAAATAAAAATGTCAACAATCGGCACAACAACAATTCAAACAACAGCACCAAACTCGTTAGTCATGAATCCTACGTCAATGTTGGTAGAGATGAAAAGCTTCATTCCTTCTTCATATACTTTTGAAACAGAAATCCAGAAGATAAAGCAAGAACTTTTAACAAGTAATTTAGACTGTAGTGCGAAAGATGAAACAAATGAACAGTATCTTTATGAAATGCAGGACATTATTGACCATTTACCCAAATTGCCTGAAATTCAGCAGCAAAAGCTCACTATTCCCGAATTCGATGAAATAGAAGTCAAAGCAACTGACTCAGTAGAAATAAAGAAGTTCATACGAAAGGTAAACTATGAGTTTCTAGGATTTCATTGCAACCATAAGGTTATGGACAAAGATTGCGACATGGTATATAAGAACATCTCTGACATATATAAATCTGAAGAATTTAAGACCTACGACAACTTTGTTTCGTTAGTTGCTGAATGTGTATGGCAGATAAGAGATAAAGATAGAAGAGGTAAGGTATGGAATGAACAAATAAGACCCGCTATGTTTGAGATGAAGAGAGCAATTGACGCTTTAGTTGTTCTAGCTGGTTTTATTTCAATGTATAACGCAAAAATGAACCCGCAATGTTCTAAATGTAAAGCGGCAATGAGGAAATATAACTACTCCGTCAAAGAGATAGAACGTATGAGAAACGACTATGCAGACTTAAAGAAAGAAGCAGAAAAGCCAGCAGAAGATAAAATGGACATGTTAGCATTTCTGAACAAAAACTATCCAACTGCAGAAGATTTCCTTCTGTCTGACGTCAAGAAGAAGTATAAAGAAACTTTCGGTCTCGTTAAAACTTTTGACATACTGACAGAAGAAATAGAAGCTACGAAATTGTTTAGAGTCTCACGAATTCATAACGTTTACCATGTGAAACGTTTATAAAATAACTGGGGTAGAAAAGAGGTTAGAAAACAGGTTAGATCTAACCTTCTACCCTAAACATTATTTTTGTCTGATTTACGCTCATTACGAAGAAGTCTTGACAAAACATTTACGATGAAATCATGAAAATTCATGAGGTGAGAAAACAGGTGAGAAAACAGGTTAGATCTAACCTTCTACCCTAAACATTATTTTTGGGTCATTTACGCTCATTACGAAGAAGTCTTGACAAAACATTTACGATGAAATCATGAAAATTCATGAGGTGAGAAAACAGGTTAGAAAACGGGTGAGATCTAACCTTCTACCCTAAACATTATTTTTGTCTGATTTACGCTCATTACGAAGAAGAAGTCTTGACAAAACATGTACGTTCATGTTTGACAAAACATGTACGAAGAAGTCTTGACAAAACATGTACGATGAAATCATGAAAATTCATGAGGTGAGAAAACAGGTTAGAAAACGGGTGAGATCTAACCTTCTACCCTAAACATTATTTTTGTCTGATTTACGCTCATTACGAAGAAGTCTTGACAAAACATGTACGAAGAAGTTTTGACAAAACATTTACGATGAAATCATGAAAATTCATGTACGATGAAATCATGAAAATTCATGAGGTGAGAAAACAGGTGAGAAAACAGGTGAGAAAACAGGTTAGATCTAACCTTCTACCCTAAACATTATTTTTGTCTGATTTACGCTCATTACGAAGAAGTCTTGACAAAACATGTACGAAGAAGTCTTGACAAAACATATACGTTCATGTTTGACAAAACATGTACGAAGAAATCATGAAAATTCATGAGGTGAGAAAAGAGGTTAGAAAACAGGTGAGATCTAACCTTCTACCCTAAACATTATTTTTGTCTGATTTACGCTCATTACGAAGAAGAAGTCTTGACAAAACATTTACGAAGAAGTCTTGACAAAACATTTACGAAGAAGTCTTGACAAAACATGTACGAAGAAGTTTTGACAAAACATGTACGAAGAAATCATGAAAATTCATGAGGTGAGAAAACAGGTGAGAAAACGGGTGAGATCTCACCTCTTCACCTAAAATATATTTTTATTGAATTCAGCAACAAAATTCTGAGTAAAATGGCATATGCTTGCTTCCCTCGGAAAACCGAGAGAAGAGATTCCGTATGAAAATCGCAAGAATTTGGCTCCTGGTTTGAAAGGATATTATGTACATAGACTTCTTGTAAATGCTGTTGCAATGTGGGCTTCACCTAAAATATATTTTTATTGAATTCAGCAACAAATTTCATGAATTTCCTTAAGATAGAAAAAATAAAGTTAGTTTTATTTTTATTTATTTTTTTATTTTGTATGTAAAGACAGTAATGTCAACAACAGAGAACACAACAACAGTTATAGTCCATGAAGCTATAAATGAAGAATACGAGTACATACAGTTTAACAAACAACTCCGTCTCATTCGTTCAGTCAAAGATGACATGTACCAAATGCAAAGTATTTTGACAGCATGTTATGCTCCAGATACTAAGCTTCCTAAAGACTGGTTTAGGAACCAAAGCACACAAGAACTTTTGAGCGAAGAACAGCGAGTAGGTAAAAAACCCCAGTCGCCAAAACTCTATGAAAATCGTGAAAAATTGCCAAATGGTTTGAGAGGTTGGTATGTACATAGACTTCTTGTAAATGCTGTTGCAATGTGGGCTTCGCCTCGTTATGCTTGGAATATTTACAGACTTCTTGACGAAATTCATAGACAAGAACGTGAAGAGCTAGAGAACAAGCTTGAAGCAAAAGACAAAAGCATTCAGAAAAGAATACCACGTTCGGTACCAAAAGGAAAGGAAAAGAACTATAAGTATATGATTTATACTGAAGAGATGGAAAATGAAGAAGATAAAGATATGGTTATGTTGCATTTAGTCAGAAGAAACAACAAAAGCTTTTACGACCTTGCTAAGATTTACAAATCTGACAGAAATTGGTTCTATCGCGAAAACTTACCGATTTCAATGACCCCAAATGAAGATGTGAAACAAATAGTTCAAGATACTTTACCTCAAACACACTATGATATGAAAGGTTGTACAATACTTACCTTCAAAGAAGATTTGCCATTGTTAAAGGAAAAAATAACAGAGTATTTTGACAACTTCAAACAAGTAGAGTAAATGAACTCTTTATTTTTACGCTTGACTTTTTACAATTTGAACTTTGTTTGCGTAGATATGAATTCTGAAAGAAGTATGAGGGTCTTGTATGACTTTGTACTTCTCCCATAGTTCATGTCTGTCAAACTTACCTGCCATGGACTCTTTCATAAGTTCCATGAAATCGTCTTCGGACAATCCGGGGAAAAGTACAATGTCAGTAAGTATTCTCTTTACATCCTTACTTAAACTCTTTGCTGTCTGTACACATATTACGACTGAGATGTTAAAGTGTCTGAGCTTCTTAAGAATTCGACACATATCAGTTAGTATACAAGTCTCGTGTATGGTGGCACTGCGTTCCTCCGTACGCAATACTTGTGAATTTGACACTTTACAAAACCATTAACGTATATTTTACAACACAAACGACAACACCAACCTAACCTTAAATATTTATAAAGCCACCAACCACTTCACCTCACTACTGTAAAAAATAAACGTTCTCACTTATAAAAGTATTGCAACTCTTCCCATTGCTGTGCTTCACACAATAGTTCATATTCTTCAGTATCGCTGCTGTCGCTCCAATCGTCAGAGTCAAAATCACTGTCAAAATAAATGTTAGTAAGTTTTGACAAAGCTAATGAAACACGCTTACCGTTTGTATCGTATGCTTGTATAAACTTTCCATTCTTCATTCCTTCATAAACGCTCAAACTAACTTTACCCTTTCTCCCTCGTATCTGATAGAATGTATTTTCACGAGGAACGAAGAACAAATTCTTGAACTCATGACCGTTGTAGTTTGTTATCTCAATAGTTTTCGTCATTTATATAAAAATAAACTTAAAAAATAAACTTAAAAATTAATAATATCACCACCCTCACACGTATGAAAACATAGCACAAAAATAAATTTAGGTGAAGTGGTGAGATCTCACCTCTTTTTTCACCTCTTTTTTCACCCACTTGAATTCATTGCTTTATAACTCTTCTAGCTTCTTCTTAAGTTCAGCAATGTTGTCCTCATGAAGTTTAATCTTTCTCAAAATTCCTTCTTTATCTAATGGTTGCTTTATCTTTCTAAACTGAACTCTACCATCCTTCATAGTATGAATGTAAAAACCTTCTGGAATAGTTCCTGATTTAATGTATTCTACCAAAAACTTTTGTTTCATTGCTTCAGTGACTTTAGTCGTCATTTCAATCAAATAAAAATTTTAATATTAAATAAAAATAACGTTATTTTTTCAGTAAGGAAACGCAGGAGTTTTACGATTTATTTGAGGAGTAGGTTCTGGTTTAAATGTTGGAGTCGGTTTAGGAGTTGACTTTTGAACAGGAGTTTGTACTTCCATAGGTTCAGGAGTCATTGAAGGTTTCGCTTGTGAAGGTGTTGGAGTTTGTTTAACTTCAGCTACTTCAGTATTATTTACAACATTTGCTTTATTTCTTTTCAACATCATAACTGCTCCTGCTGTAGCTAGCAAACCTAGTGGGAGACCATATCTTATATAAGGACTTGACCAAATGCTATTTTTGACAGGAGCTGGTGGAACACCTAACCTTGGTGAGACTGCTCTTTGCCATTGTGCAGCTCGTAAGAAATATTCAATAGGTGCTCCATAATCGTTTGGTAAAGTTTGTTTCATAAATGGTGAAGGTTCACGAGAGCTTGATGAAGAACTCATTTATAAGCTTTAAAAATAAACGTTCATCCTTTATTCCTCACTGTCGTCAGTTGCTAAGTTATAGTCGTCAAGTCTTATTATTGGTATGCCTGACTGTCTTACTTGTATTGCAAAGCAACAATCCCTCATAAATCCAATAAGTGGCTTTGGTACGTTTTCAGTTGCTAGTTCAATAGGTCCTTTAACAGACAATTTGTATGTTATTGGAGCAGTAGATGTTTGACCTTGCTGGAAGCAAAAGTCCACTTCTGTTGGAAAACCACATAAGAAATGTGTGTTGTCATAACTATCCCATTTATGTTCCACACTACCATCATCCACCAATGACCTCATAACATCTTCATTAAATCCAATCATATCATTGTTTGTATTGCAAGCGTTCGCAACCATTTCATAAAATACAGGTCCATATGATTTTTCAGGTTCTGCAGGCATATTTCCATAAGCTCCCATGGAAAGCTGAAGATATTTAAACTTAGGGTTCTCAAAATTAACATAATAGTTGTCTTTCTTTCTAAATAGTGCCCAAATACTTTTAACATTAATAGGCGTATAAGCTGCTGTAAATGTTGCACTTGAACTATCTGTATTCTTTGAGAATGAACCATCCATAGGAATCCAATCCATAACTTTAACAGGAAAACATAAAGCCTCGTTTGTATAATGTTCTACAAGTTCTGTATAAATGTTAGGGTCTAAAGAGAATGACTTTGGATGAATGAAACATTCATTAAAATCCATCTTTGTTCGAAATAGTTGCTGGGTTACAGTTGTAATAGTAACTGTTCCACTAGCTTCTACTGCCTTCGTTATCATAGTGAATGGTTCATTCCATGGAACAAATTTATTTGTCGGTGGATTTGAATCTGAAGCAAATGCAACTTTAAGAGTTGGATTGAAAGCAATGATATCATTTACAGATATAGATGTGCATTGTAAGGCGTCGCTACTGAACTTTACTTTAAGCTGAATGTTTCCTGCAAAAGCTGGAATAAATCGAATAGCTTCTAATGGAAGGAATCTTCTAACAGGAATTCTTAAACGAAGCTTAAAATCAAATGATTTTCCTGCTGTAATTGGACCACTAACAATTTGTCCTGTTCTGCATGTTCCCGAATGACTCCATACATCTTCATGTCGAGTCTTTGAGAAAACATCTACTTTCTTTATTTGTTCGGTAGTTTGTGAGTTTGAAGTTATATATGCTTCTTCTCTTGCGTTGTCTTGAGAATATACGATACGACCATTTGCAAGGATTTGATATCCAGCAACTGCATAGAAAGCGTCATCGAAACCAATCCAAAATCCTGGTGGGTTTGTTTTATTGGAACCTGAACCAATTTCTTTATCTACAATAAATTGACCTTCCATTTTATACGTAATGAATGTATTGTAAAGGTCCAACATATTTTCACCAGGAGGTGAGAGATTGAATGTTACCCATGTGTTATCTTTAGCAGTTCCAGGTTGTGATGGAATCTTTGCATCAGAATATTTTCTATTAGTGTCACCAATTTGAACTGCATTGTCTATGATATCGAAATATGAGCGAATCTGATGAATATGCTCTGCTGGAGTAAATTCGTTTAGCTGTTCGTTCTGCATGTATTTACTTCAGATAAAAATATCTATTTACTTCATTATTCTCACTCTTCTTCTTGGCATTCGTGGTGGAAGTTGTTTCTTGACATTTTCAATGAACTGTACATTCTCTTTTGTCTCAACTTCTTTCACTGGCGGGTCAGGGTTCTTTGACTCGGTTTGTTTTTCAATGAAATTCACGAACTTTGCAATAAGCTCTTGGTTCGTTATTGAAAGTACATCTGGCTTCTTTTCTTCTGGTTCTTTTGGTGGCTCAGTTTGAACAGAAGGTTTTATATGGGCTTCGTGGACTTCACCCTTGCCATGCACCTTAATGTTGTCGCTTTCTGCATTCGCTAATGGAACCTTTCTTTTTCTTACGTATATTTTACCATCTTTACTCTGACTTACGTAATAGAAAGGATGTTGTATTCCTCTTGCGTCATTTAATATAATAGACTCTCGCTCTGATTTTGACAAGCTCATTTTACATCGGTTAAAGTTTTAATTTTGTTTTTTATCTGCAGTCAAATGACTCAGACAAGCCCTACGGACAAGACCCAAGGGGTCATAGATGTTGAAGCATTGAAGAAAGAAATTCGCGAGCAAATTTTATCCGAACTGAAGGAACAAAAACAAGAACAAAAGCCAGAGAGACCAAAGAGAAAACTTAGTGAAAAACAACTTGCTGCATTAGCTGCTGGAAGACAAAAGAACCCAAGACTACTGGCGAAAAAAGCTAGAGAAGAAGCTGAAGCAAAAGCTAAAGAAGCTGAAGCAAAGAAAGAGTAAATGGTTTATTTTTATTGGAACTAAATGTATAGACAAATACCTTTATCTGTTGCGTTCAGTAGTGAAAACCCTGACGTCAAAATAAAGGGGAACAGAGTAACGTTTAAGTTTCCAACAGACTGGATTGTGAACATAAATGAAGAGAAGTACATTGGCATAACATCTATGTATATAACACGTGCATTTAGGAAAGTTGACTTTATACTTCAAGTCGAGATAGAAAATGACGAACAGTCTTTAAGCGCCCAAAACATTCACATATACAAATACTTTAAAGACGATACAACATTGTTGCAATGTATGATTTCATTTAATGAAATGTTCGAGAAAAAGTTTAACATTGAAGTACAAACTTTACAGCCTTTACGTGAGTTTCTTGCACAATTGAAAGAAGAAGGTAGTCAGCCACAACTTATAGACTTTCATTATGAATTTAATGAAAATGAAGATGGAACACATGACTGTCAGTTTGTTATATATTCACCATTCAATGAATTAGCTAAAGAGAAAGAAAATCCATTACGTATAAGGTTTCAAATCTCTGAACCCAATGAAGACTTCAAGAATGTTTTCAATTATTATGCAATGCTTCCGAGGAAAAATGAATTTTCAAAGATTGTAACACCTGGCATTTGGGATAGAAAGCAAGCTATATTATATTCAAACTTAAGTAAGGGAGTTGAAAATGAGTTCATTGGTCATACAAGAACTTCACCACTTCCTAACCCTAAATACTATAAATTAACTGGCTTCAATCGTGAGTTTTGGATAGACATGTTCTCCACTCATGACCATAACTGCCCAGTGTTCTTACCTCCAGACCATAAGGACTGTCTCTACATTGAAGCACAACTCTTAAACTCTACCATCGCAGTATTGTAAATGACCACATGGGCTTCGCCCTTGCCGCTAGCGGCTTATTTTTATCATGAATGACCTCATTGCTGACAAAAATAAATGACCTCAGAACTTCAACTTACGAATAAAGCTTGTTTTAGTCGTTATTGAGAAGTTAAACTTTTCAGCAAAGCAAGGTTGACATGACTTACATAAGTCAAATCCAATCTCTTGACCATCATGAAGTGCTTTGTAAAGTTTCATTAAACTGAACTCAGAGTCTTTGTCATATGTTCCAACAGGTATGTGAATGTTCTTATCTTCATTGTAATAGCATTGTATAGCTTCAGGAAACATTTCATTTGCTGTTAAAGCAAGGACGTCTTGTTTGACACCTTTGCAACGTGCATGGAATGCAACTTCATTTAAATCATTCGTGAGTAAGTCTATGTAAGTCTTCTTTCCACAAAATATTGACTTGTATGCTAAACTTTGTTTTCCAGGTGTTATTTCTGCGAAGTCAGAATGAAATTGACCAAGGTTCTTTCCTATAAGTTCTCTACCGTATCTCTTCTTAAACTCTGCTGCAAGCTTTGGTATGTCTTCATTGAAAATATGCATGCTATCACAGTCCTGGTAAAATATTTGAAGTCCCATATCTTCTGCAGTACAGAATACTTCACACATTATTCTCTTCGACATAGACAGAATGTTAACACCAAGTGGACAGAAGTTAAAGTGTCTGCAAATGCTTTTCGTTAGCTTGAAAATAGTTTTATCTGAACCATCCAAACCTTCGAACTTCACTATATGGTTGTAGTTTCTGATGGCATATCTTATAGCATCTTTGTCATCTACTATGGTTATTTTTGACTCAATAGGAGATAGAATAGTTTTGCCATAAATACTGTTCAGAATGAGCTTTATATTTTCTTGCAAAGGATTTCCTTCTTTCTTATACTTTAACCTTAACTCAAACAACTTCTTTACTTCATCTCTTATTCTAATATCTCTGTTTCCATCGTAATAGTATCCTTGCAACACTTCACATTTGACACCTTGATATTTTATGAGGTCTTGTAATGTTATATGGTCAACATACATTAAACAGCAAGTGTTTGAACTTCTGGGAACGTTAAGTTCTGGATTTAGTTCAGGGTCACAAACTATTAAAGGAAAGTGTCTATGTATTCCAATCTCTGTTATCTTAATGAGAACAAAGAAGCCAGACATAAACTTTTCACCAATGGGTTCCTTTTGGTCGTCATCGAATAAATGTCTCATGAGATACTCTGTGCTTAACATTTCTTTCTTCATAACCTTTGGAATACCTTCTAAAGTATAAAGTCTCGCGATAGCTGAGGGATATAATGAAACAGCATCGAAGTCAGCAATGAGTTTCTTTTTGCTCTTTTGTTTCATGTTATCTGACAACATACATCTTCCACCTTGAATGCATCTCGAAATAAATTCTCTTGGTTTATTTGAGAGGTCATATAAATTTCCATTCGGGAAGTACACTCTGTTCTCAAATAATTTGTTAGCAATAGAACAAATACTAACGTAGTCATATACGTTTAAATCAAACTCTTTCAATATGTCATTGCGGAACTTAACAAAACCTTCTCTTAAAATTCTTACATCTTGTTTGCAATAAAATGTACTATACTTTTCTAAGTCGAAATGGTTTTCATCTATTCTGCAACCTTTGATGGAATCTATGTTCTTCATGAACGTATCTGCATCCTGGATAAACTTACATGCTTCAGAAATGACACCAGTTTTGTTATCATTCATGAGCAAAGTACTGCTGTAGTAGTTGTATGGAAATACTTCTTTCGGTCCTGTTTGTAAGTTAAACATAGCAGGAAATAGTTTAAGCTTCTTATTTATAACACTGTAAGAGTCTTTTATAATAATTGCCCTTCCTTTATATAAGCCAGTTATTTGCATTGTTCGTGAACCTTTAATGATGGGAGTTCCTTTCACTTCTGTCATGTGTCTTAAGATGAAGTTTATGTCATAACTGAGGTTATGGAAATATATTAAACTCTTGTCAGGAAGTCGCTCCAAAAATTCTGTTGCACAGTTTTGACCCCATATGCTTTCACTCACTGAACCATCTTCACTGTCATAACAGATGTTAAAAGCTTTATGAAAGCCATCGGTACTACACTCAAAGTCAGCAAAGAAAACATGCTCAGGAATGAACTTGCACTTATTTTTATTTACTTCTTTTGACTCTGCTTTCTTCTTCAGTTGTACACAATACTTTGGAGCATATGTCAAATCTTTAAATGGTGCAAGGTTCTGTTTATATAAGTCAGTCGTATATGTGAAAAGTTCTCCATAAGAAATAGGTTCGAAATATTTGCACTCCCACAATGTTTTCATAACATCCCATAGTGGTGTTGTTCTATCATAACGAACTACATATTTATCTTCTCTCTTTGTATAAATCTTCATTTGTTTCTCAATGTTCATTCCACCACACTCCTTCAAAATTTCTATATAGTTGCGAATGAAATATGTTGTCATTGGTAATCTTTCGTTTAGCATGTAGTGGTCTTCAACAAGAAGTAAGTCAATAGTTCGAACAGTTTTACATTCTTTTGGTATGTATCTCTTTATTTCATTATGTCTTGAGTCATTGAAATAACCAATGGTAACATTGAATGCTATACCTGTTGAATCGGAAATTTCTTGTACTTTACTTTGAGGAAAGTCTCTAACACGAATGACTTCTCTCATGTGGTCAATAGTCTCTCCATCTACTCCAGCCTGAATGCAAGCATAAACGAAACAATTGTCTTCTGTCATAAGTGTTGCAGTTCTTTTGTTCAGTTCATTGAAGATTTGGTAGCGTTCAAGATTTATAGGTAATGTGCAAAGATACTTCCAGAACTGACCGCTTCTCTTCTTATAAAACTTCTTTTCACCATTATCTTTCCAAAAGCTTTCTATAAGTGCTGGGTTTCCTGTTTGCTTAAGAGCTTCCAAAATGGCTTTCTGGTCATTTGTCAGTGTGCTTTCATCTCTATATGGTCTCTTTTTTGGTTTGCCTTTCTTTACATCTGACATCGTTAAGCCTTCATATTCTGTTAAATCATACATCTTTATTTCAGTAAGATTCTTTATGTTTGTCAAGAAGAAGTCATAGTGCATTTCAACAATACCTGCAGCATTTGCTTCTATCTCTTATATAAAGTTCTCCTTCAAGAGCTGATGTAGTAATGTTCCAATATTATTGAGGTTTAACGTAGAACATTCATACTTTCCACCAAGTTTATAACATACCATCCATCTCTGTTGTGAGTTTATTTTAATTTTCTCTAAGAGTCTCATGAAAACCTTACCGAAATGTTTGTGTAAGTAGTCTCTGTTTGGTTCATCTAAAGCTTCGATGTTAAAGTCAATGAGTCTATTGCCTGACTTCACATTTCTCTTCCTATTCTCTTCATCTTTCTTTAACCATCTCTCACCTTCTTTTGGTTTGTCGTCAATGGAACGAATGACATCGTTAGCTTTACGAACTTGTTCTATAGCACTTTTAAACATCTCTCTTCTCTGTTGTTTCAGTGTGTCGTCTCTCTTTCGTGTTTCACCAACGTTTGCATTTGTTATGTCAAACATCTCTTGACGAACATCATGCGAAAGAGCTTTACGAGTATGACCAACGTTTGCATTTGTTATGTCAAACATTTCTCTTCTTACTTCATGAGGTACTGAACGTCTATGATATAAGTCAATAGCAACGTCATTTAAAGGAAATGCTATTGCATGGACTTCGTCCTCGCCGCGTTGCGGCTTTATGAACTCATGAATTCTATCATAACTTATTGCACCATTATAGTCTTTAATGAAGTCAGCGAGTGCTTTTTTGTTTGTTGCGTAATGCTTTGCAACATCTATATTAGCTTCTGTAAGAAGTTGTTTTATTTCCGAGTGTTCTAACTTAGACAACTTCCGATACATCTTTAGTAGGAAATAAAAAAAAATATTTTTGAAAAAATTAGATTAGATTTTTTTAAAGTTATTTTTCAAAATAATTTAATATTTTTATTATAATGAAACACATGCAAGATTGCAAGTTCTTTTCATACAATGCTCTCGCTAATGCCATCAAGAATGAGTTCAATGGTGCTTCAAACGTTAATGTTATCTTTAACAAGAAGTTTGTGAAAGAATCTAAGTTTGGTCAGTATGTCAGACCATTAGCTATTGTCATTGACCGCAAACGTTATACTTCACAAGAGTTAGCAGTAGTTTTGAAACAAAAGAGTTTCTTCGTGAATGTCAAAGATACTCATTATACTGTCATAAAGAACTCTAACATTGACTTCTTCAGTATTGCTATGAATCTTTCCGAACAGAAAGAATATAAGAAGGGTGAAACAAATGTGAAATATTATCCTTCATCTCTGAAGACAATAACGAACAAAAATGTTATACAGAAATTCTTACCAAAGGTTGAAGAAGCTTCTATTGACATTGACGAAGGAAGTGAAATGGTTGAAGAAATTGACCCTGAAGTTATTTAAGCAAAAATATATTTTTGAATAACTGAAAGTGTCACCACGTCACCATGTGCTACCAGGTTAATTAACTTCTTTTAAAAATGATGACAACATGACATTTTGACAACAGTCCAGGAAATAAATTTTATCGTTAATGTTTACGTTAATGTTATCGTTTATGTTATCGTTAATGTTATCAGTGTCGAACATAATTGACGTAGGATTCATGACTTCTTCGTAAATGAGTGTAAATATAGCACAAAAATATATTTTAGGTGAAGAGGTGAGATCTCACCCGTTTTTTCACCTCTTTTTTCACCTCATTCTCTTTTCGTTAATGTTGTCGTGACTTCTTCGTTAATGTTGCCGTGACTTCATTCTTCCTCTTTGAAGTTATCGAAATACTCTGTTATTTTTTCCTTTAACAATGGTAAGTCTTCTTTGAATGTAAGTATTGTGCAACCTTTGATGTCATAGTGTGTTTGAGGAAGAGTATTTTTGACAATTTCCTTTATTTGCTCATTCGGTGTCATTGAAATCGGTAAGTTTTCACGATAGAACCAGTTTCTGTCAGATTTGTAAATCTTAGCAAGGTCATAAAAGCTTTTGTTGTTTCTTCTGACTAAATGCAACATAACCATATCTCTGTCTTCTTCTTTCTCCAACTCTTCAGTATATATCATATACTTATAACTCTTTTCCTTTCCTTTTGGTACTGAACGCGGTATTCTTTTCTGTATGCTTTTGTCTTTGGATTCAATGACTTCATCTTTTGCTTGAAGTTTCTTTTCCATCTGTTCGCGTTCTTGTCTGTGAATTTCGTCAAGAAGTTTACAAACATACCAAGCATAACGAGGTGAAGCCCACATTGCTACAGCATTTACGAGAAGTCTATGAACATAATATCCTCTCAAACCGTTTGGCAATTTTTCACGATTTTCATAGAGTTTTGGCGACTGGGGTTTTTTACCTACTCGCTGTTCTTCACTGTTTCAGAAAAAAGTATGTCTCGCTGTGCTTCATTTAATAGTTCAATAGTGCTTTGGTTCCTAAACCAGTCTTTAGGAAGTTTAGTATCTGGAGCATAACATGCTGTCAAAATACTTTGCATTTGGTACATGTCATCTTTGACTGAACGAATGAGACGTAACTGTTTGTTATATTGTATGTACTCGTATTCTTCATTTATAGCTTCATGAACGATAGCAGTTGTTGTGTTCTCTAATGTGACATTACTGTCTTTACATACAAAATAAAAAATAAATAAAAATAAAATTAGCGTTATTTTTTCTGAGATAAACACTATTTCTTCACAACATTAAATTTTATCCTGTATGAAATGACTTTAAAAAGATTATTGACTGACTTCGAATACTATCTCATTGACGCACTGACAGACCCTCAAAACTGTGTTGAAAGTTCTTTAAGCTTTAAGATTGAAGGTACGACGCATTTGTCTTCACTTACGTATTGAAAGAATATGACCGTTATCATAACGAAGTGAATCAAACACTAATAAAATTTGTAGATAAAAAATTGGTTAACAATGAATATTTTAAACGTGAAGACCCAAACACTGCTGGAGATGATGAAGAATACAGACAATTATTGAAAAAAATAACGCAAGATTAGATGCAATAGAAAAGAAGTTTAATGAATCTTACAAACACGTATGAATATCTTATGCGGTGGGAAGCCAGATGGAAATAAATTTACGTCAAATATGCAATTTATAAAAATCTTATGTCGACAGGCTACGTAGCACAGTGGTCTAAGGTGGTGTTATGGGGGTTAGTGTCTGTGGTTCGAACCGCGGCAGCGCCGTATTTTCTTATTTTCTTTGTTTGTCTTGTTTGTCGTGAATAAAAAGTGTCATAAAAGTGCTCTATTTTCCACGGGAATAAATAAAAAATTTACTTTATTTCTTCTTTATTTCCTTGAGAAAGGGTTTTGCTGTTTTTCTGTTTTTCTCAGCCGAAATCAATGATTTTTTCATTTTTGAATCCTTAGCGAATGAGGAATCTTTTCTCTCGTGGAAGCTTTGACCAAAAATATATATTGAGGTGAAGAGGTGAGATCTCACCTGTTTTTTCACCTCTTTTTTCACAAAGCGTTTTACATGAATTGTACGATGTATATTTGAAATCCTAAAACAATTCGTAGCTTCTATTTCTTCTGTCAGTATGTCAAAATTTTAAAACAATACGAAGGTTTCTTTATACTTCTTCTTGACGTCAGACAGAAGAAATCTTCTGCTGTTGGATAGTTTTTGTTCAGAAATGCTAACATGTCCATTTTAATCTTCTGCTGGCTTTTCTGCTTCTTTCTTTAAGTCTGCCATAGTCGTTTCGCATACGTTCTATCTCTTTGACTGAGTAGTTATATTTTCTTTATTCCTGCTTTACATTTTGAACATTGCGGGTTCATTTTTGCGTTATACATTGAAATAAAACCAGCTAAAACAACTAAAGCGTCAATTGCTCTCTTCATCTCAAACATAGCGGGTCTTATTTGTTTGTTCCATACTTTGCCTCTTCTATCTTTATCTCTTATTTCCCAAACACATTTTGCAACTAATGAAACAAAGTTATCGTAAGTCTTAAACTCCTCAGATTTATATATGTCAGAAATGTTTTTATAAACCATGTCGCAATCTTTGTCCATAACCTTATGGTTGCAATGAAAACCAAGGAATTCATAATTTACTTTACGTATGAATTTCTTAATTTCTACTGAGTCAGTTGCTTTGACTTCAATTTCGTCGAATTCAGGAATAGTTAGTTTTTGCTGCTGAATTTCAGGTAGTTTAGGCAAATGGTCAATAATGTCCTGCATTTCATAAAGATATTCTTCATTTGTTTCATCTTTCGCACTACAGTCTAAATTACTTGTTAAAAGTTCTTGCTTTATCTTCTGGATTTTTGTTTCGAAAGTAAATGAAGAAGGAATGAAGTTTTTCATCTCTACTAACATTGACGTTGGATTCATGACTAACGAGTTTGGTGCTGTTGTTGTTTGAATTGTTGTTGTGCCGATTGTTGAAATCATATCTTTTATACAAAATAAAAAAATAAATAAAAATAAAACTAACTTTATTTTTCTATCTTAAGGAAATTCATGAAAATTCACGGGGGTGAAAAAACAGGTGAGAAAACGGGTGAGATCTCACCTCTTCACCTAAAATATATTTTGTCTGATTTACATCTAATGAAAAAGTTTAGAAGAATTTTCTTATTCTTTCTGGCATATTTTTGTCTTTCCAGTACTCCCGCTCTAATGGTCCCAGATGTGTTGGCTTCGACTCTCTCAAGTTCTTAGATGGTATAACATCTTCAACGCCTCCTTCATATCTTACTTTATAAGTGTCATCGTTTATGTTGTAGTCAAGTATTTCAATAACCACTCCTCGCTTTGCTTCGTCAATGGTTTCAGCAAGTTTGCCATTACTACTTTCAACTAATTTATGACGAGGGTAAAACGCTATGGAGTCGTCAGCAGCTTTTATAAGATATCCATTACTTGCGTAGAGTCTACGATATAATAATTTCGACTTAACATTAAACGTTTCTTTGTCAACGGTTTGTCGTCAAGAACTACACGAACTTTTGTTCCAGGAATGAGGGTAAATTGTGTTGAATTTCTGATATTTTGTGTTTGACTTCGTTTCTTTGTATATACTTTTCTTCTTGTTGTTGTGTCATTGAATTTGGTGTATGGCCTGTTGTAGAATGCGTTGAGGAATTATATACTTCGAGAAAATGTTCATTGTTTCTTCGGTAAAGTCGCTCTTGTTTAAATCTCTGAGCGTCCTTATGAAGCGGTTTATGATGCCGAGTTGTTATGGTTATGGTCTTCAGTAGTGTAGTGAGTTATGTTATGCTTAATGAGAAAATCTGTGATTTCATTGCTGAGGTATGCACTGTCTTGGTCTGATGTTAAAGTACTTGGGCTATGTTCTGCTACAAACTTTTGTAAAACTCTTAACACTTCACGAGTTCCTTTATTTTTCATTGGATATGCATATGCTTTACGAGTGTTAACATTTAATGAAGATGAGGAATGGTTTATGTCCTCCTTTTCTGCTTTGAATGAGAGTGTCAAATTGGTATGCGTCAGGAGCGTTGGAGTAAATTGGTAAAAAGTAGTCGTAAGGGTTTATTTTTGTTTGATGTACAACATTTTTGTCAAAGAACCTTTTCACTTCAGCTCTGTTAGTAAATCCCCAACTCTTTGCAGCTTCATTGAACTTCTTAAATGACCTCCATGGATGTTGTTCGAATACTTCTTTCAAGCTCATTTATGTAAAGTTAAAGATTTTATTCAAGACGGTAAGCCGCAAAGCAGGCTCAAGCGCGTTCATTGAACGCGGTACCATGCGAATATAGTCACAAATGGTGGCATATAATCTGCACCCGAGCCTGTTGGATTTGTTGTGAAAGTATGTGAATGATTTCCTCCTGGTTCAGTTGGTCGAAAAGTCTTTTTTGCTGCATTGTTATAAGATGGAGATAAAACGTCATTGCCAGCTTCATACTCTGAGTTGTATAATGGGTGGTCTCTTAATGAGTGGCTATGGTCGCCAGAAAAGTTTGTAGTTCCTGTATGAGTGTGCGGTGGAAGGTTTGCTTCAGTAATTTTCTTCGAACCTCCTGTTTGCTTTGAAGAGTTAGCACAGTATAAGAATTTGTCTACAATCTGCTGCCATGTACCAAAACCTAAAACTGTTGCTGGATTTGTTGAGTTCATTGACGTATAAATAGAACCAATGGGATATAATGTTTGAAGTATTTCTGTCTTTAATGTTTGAAGCTCTGTTTTGTCAGCTTTCTTATCTAACATTGCTGGTAGTTCATATGCTTCAAAGTTTCTGGCATGATCTTCGATATTCCTGCAACTCTTATCTAAATTGTTAAGAGTATCTTTTACGCTTGTACTTGGATTTTCTAATGGTGCACTTGAACCAAGGTCAAAGTTCAATATTATGTCGTCTGCTCTAACAGTAGTGAAGGATTTATGTGTATGGTTCTTGTCAGCTTTCTTATCTAACATTGCTGGTAGTTCATTTATATCGGAGATGTTGTGTTTATGAGATTTCAAAACTTTGTTCATTGCTTCGAGTTCAACTTTGTCAGCTTTACTTTTAATAGCATCTTCAAACGTTATTTTTGACTTAACTCTCAAAGTAAATCTTGGTTCAACTAATACACCGTTAACATTGAAAGTAGAGGCATAAATTTCACCGGTATAACCAAATGCTTCTGGTGCTTTAGCTACATCATACTGTACAGTACAGCTTATGTCATAACCTTTAGCACGAATGTATTTATATCTTCTTTCATTAACATTTTTTGTCTTCGCTTCATCACTTCGTGTTAAATATCCATGGTAGTCCGTTATAATCTGTTCGTCTGAAGTTATATAATGAACGTGGTTCTTGTCCGCTTTACTATTTAATGTAGCTTGAAGTTCATTTATATCGGAGATATTGTGTTTATGTTCTTTATCTGCTTTTTCGGCTAATTTCTCTTCTATCTCATTTATTTCAAGTTCATGCCTACCACCACCTCCCGAAGAAGTATTTTTCTTCAGCTCTTGAAGAACGTCCACTTCGCCATCTTTGGTGTCAATAATGAGACTTTGAGTTAAAACCTTTCCTGTCTTAATGGATGTTTGTAAAACTTCTTCTTCACCGTGTTCGGGGTCATGGTCGTCATCATATCTTGTGAAATCAGAGATGTTGTCATACATTAAGCATATCTGTCTCAAAAGTTCTGCTATTTGAAACTGGAACGAAAGATATACAGAACTTTCATCATCTCCTAAAGTCAAGTCTGCTTTCTTAAGTATTTCTTGAATGTATGCAATGAGAACAGAGTACCTTGGAAAATATTCGAACAATATTTCATTAGCTGTTGGTTTTGGTGGTTCTTCTGGAGTTTCTGTTGTTTCAGTTCCTTCTGTAGGTTCTGTTGGAGTTTCTGCATCTCTTGACTTCAATGCTCTTGCTCTCAAAGACCTAAATGTTAGAGCACCGGTTTTACAAAGGACTTTATAAATGCTTTAATAGTTCCTGGTAAGTTATTGTTAGCATTAAGTAAGTTCCTTATGCTTCCATCATGTACGTCCATAGCACTATGTAAAAAATCTATACTTTTCTTGTAGTCAGCAATAGACTGACTGTGATTTTTTAAAGATTTGTCAATACCTTTAAGCCAATCTTCATGCATGTCTGATACTGAGCCAAGAATATCATTTGCTTCCTTTAGTGTATTTTGTGCTTCTCGTAAAGTATCCAATCCAGTACGTGCATTGTTTGCTATACGTCTTACAGTATCTATTTGACTCCTTGTTTCTTGCATCCAACCAGATAAAGTTTTAATAGTATCCGAACCATTTGAAATGAAGTTCAAAGCATTTTTAACGTCATCTAAAGCTTCTTCACCAAGTACTGCCCATATCTTTCCGATTTGGTATTGAAGAACTCCATATGAAGCAGCTGTTAAACCAGTATTTATAAGGTCCCATATCCATGATTTAGCAGTTTTTCCATCCTTTCCATCCTTTCCATCCAAACCGTTTTCGCCTTGAGGTCCTTGTATTCCTTGTATTCCTTGTATTCCTTGTATTCCTTGTGGTCCGGTGTCACCCTTCTCTCCTTTCAGTTCATCTTTATGTTCGTTATAATATTCTAATGTCATAAGGTGTACATCATTACTGCTACCAGCAACGCCGAGAATTTGTTTCTCATTCATGACTAAATTCTTTAGGCATTTAATGTTGTCGTCAAATCGAAAGCTCTTTAACAATTCAATGAGAACATTCAGTACTTTCACTAATGAGGCATCTACTGTAGAATTTATATATTGCACCGTTCCATCATTTATGATGGGAACTTGCTTGTTGTAATGAATGGGTCATAAGTGTTAAAAGTATCGAAATCAATGACTTTTTTAGTTTTTCCATCGTCAATGACTAAATCATTGCCTTCAATGGTTAAAGTTGAGTTTTCGTTTACTAGTTCATGTGCTCTTCTTGCTTCATTTGTTTCATACGCATATGCAGCAATAGTCATATTTTAATGAGAATAAAATGTTGTTCTATTTGCAAAGTACAGACCCAAACGAATACGGGACAGTAAAGCTACAAACAAACTTAGGTCTTCAGAATGAAGCGCTTGCTTTCAGAGTTGTTGACTTTAATACTATCGCAACTTTTGTCATAACAGATGAAACAGATTTCATAGAGATTGAAATAGATGACAAAAGAAGTTTTATAACATTTCCTAACAGAGCAGAGTATAGAATAGATAAAATTGCTGGAGTCATAGATACTCTCATAAATGAAGAAACTATTGACAACATAGATGTCGAACTCTCTTCTGAGGGAACATTGAAGTTCAGTAGCAAGAAAGAGTTCAAGATAACACGAATGAGTCATAGAGTTCAACTTCTTTTAGGAGCATACCATATGACATTTCCTTTGAAAAGTGTTGACAAAACGATTGAGATGAAATCTGTTCCATACGTATGTTATGGTAATTGTTTATACATTGAGTCTAAAATAGCTAATGTCACAGGCATTTCAGGAGTTAATAGTAAAGGTTCAGTAGAATATAAATCCTTCTGTTATGCAGTCAATTCAATGTTCATTCCAAACGTTCCTGTCATAGCAACTCATTTAGGTAAATGGGTTCGCATTAGTCCTCATAATTTGAAAGACATGCAATTCAGACTTGTTGACTTTCAAGGAGAGCCTGTAGAACTGAAGGCACCAGTGCGAATGACTGTTGAAGTTGACTTTTTAGAAAATATTAAATGCAACAGCTTACAAGAGAACTCAGAGCTAAAAATATAAAGTATGAATGTTATGTATTAGGTCATGAACTTTGGTTGTTGCTGTTTGATGAAACAAATGAGTTAGTTATGTCAGTCAAGAGAACAGAAAAATATTGTGTTAGTGAAAACTGCACCAAGTCAATAAGATTAGGTTTGCATTATGAAGATGAGTTCGATACTGTTGAAGAAGTTTTGGATAGATATTACAAATTGCTTTAATTTACTAAAACATATTTCAAGCAAAGTTTATATTCTGTTGAAGTTTTGTATACTCGTTCGAATATTTATACTTAAACTCAACTCCTGTAGTTCCTGGTGTTTCAATGATGCGGATGTTACCTATTTTCATGAATATGGAGTTTGACCACAGCATTCGATTTCAGGGTCGAGATAGTCAATGACACATTGTTTCCCTGTTATTCGTGAGATAACATTTTCAAGGTCCTCCTTTGTTAGAATTATTTGGTTCTTACTTATAAGATTTGTCAAAAGCTTCTTATCGTCTTTGAGTAAAATTGTTTGGTATAACTGAAGAAGGTAATGGTCTACGTTATCTGAAGGATTTGTTTGAACATTTGTGTAAGGGTTGTCGTTGGCTTCTCTTGAAAGAATTTGGTCCAGTGGTGGATACTCTAACTTAACATCTGATGTAGCGTTAGCGTTTGAAGCTGTGTTTAAATTCACGGATTAGTCTGGTTCTTTTTCTTTCAAACACTCTGAACTATAGTTCTTTATGACAATATTGTTTGTCGTTCGTGAGTCAACATTTGATGTTGGTTCAATTGGAACATTAACGGCACCAGCTAAGATGGATTTGCTTCTCATTTCATATAGAATAAAAACCTTTTATATGTATGAAATGAACAATATACTCGACAAGGGTTTGAATGTAAAGCTAACGAATGAAAATATTGTTGAATTCACTGAGACAGGAGCTGTGTATAAAGATGTAGAACTACTGAACAAAAGAGCTAAGGGAAGAAGCAGGAACATGAACAAAGGGTGGAAGCCTATAAAAATTTATGTCAATGATGGCTCAGGAGGTTCAAACATAAAGTATGCAGAAAGTTATAGAGTTTATGCTCTCAAAGGTGAAAAGCCTTCATTTAAGAACAGCTATTCTAACGCATATCCTCAAAAGCTAACGGATGGGAAGTGGATGATATGAATGACAGCAAAAATATTAACAGAAATGGCGACAGAGATGCATGGAATTTGTTTACCATCAGTCAATTGAAGGTTAAACTTTAAAACAATGTTGGTCGTTCCCATGGAATATTTTTGACTTTAATGGTATTAGTCATGATATGAATCTCAAGGTATGAACGAGGAGAGATGAGAGACTTATATGCTTCCCAAATTTCTTCAAAAGGTAATGTTATACCTGACTGTTTCCAAATGAGTTCAATATCATAGCGTGAGAAACCTTGAAAGATAACGAAGTCAGTTATGAGACGTTTTATGTTTAAAGCTAAAAACCTCCATGTTTGCATAAGTATTGCTACAGTTAAGTGGTAATGTCTGACTTTAGTTATGATGTTAGCTAATGGTGAGTCAGGCTTTTGACACTAAACCTTTTCCGGCGAAGTCGTCGCAAACGAGCAGAGTGTTTGAAGGATATTTTTTGAAGGGGTATTTTGAAAGTTTTGACAGAATGTAGTTTGTAAGTCGTTTCATATCGTAAACTCCTGAGTACTGACGTAAGTGGTGTTTGTCAATAATTCTTTCCATCTCCTCAGAAGTCTTTTGCATTCCTGACTGTATAAATTCAACGATGGCATAATATTTCCTCTTACGTCGAATGTAACGTTGAAGAAATTCAATGAGTTCACTGTCTGGAACTTTAACGACAGAGGCTTGAACTTTTGACATAAATGTTTTCGCTGTTGAGTCCATAGAGTCTGAAGTTGCTGATATAATGATTTGGTCATAATATGAGTCATTTCCTAAACGTTCTGTTATGAGTATATGACGAATGAGGTTAAATGTCTTACCTGAACCCATCTTTCCACAATAGAAATACACACCATTTGAACAGAACTCATAATCTTTGCTGAAAGGAAGAATAAGAGAAGAGTTAAGTTTGTCTGTAGTTTCATTCATGTCTTCATCTACGTCATGTATTAAATGCTTCATTTTATCTCCATTAAAAATGCAAGTCAGAAATATTCAGAACATAGCACCGAGTCTAACTGACAAGAGTATAAAGATATACTATGAACACGTTATGATGAAACCAACCAAAATTCAAGAAAGTCAGTATACTTATGAATATCCAAGACACTGGGTAGAGTATGTAGGAGGTGAGAAAGCTATTGAAATCAGACAGGTTAGAAGTATTCCAGCAGGAAGAACAATATTATTGAAGAACTTTAATGTTTTGAGATATAATGATGAAACAAAGAAGCAAGATAGTTTCCCTGTTGCTGTGTATGTGAACCTAGACACAGGAGATGACATGAAAGTTTTTAACACAAAGCTTCAAACGGTAGTGAGAGAACAACTGACTGCGGAAGGACATCCATTACCTTCAGAAGTTACCATAGCATATAATTTTGAAACAAACTCAATAGATTTTAAAGTCATCTCTGCAAAGAAGTCAGGTTTTACATTTAATGAAGCAGATGTATATTCGAATGAAAACTTCAAAGCTATTGCATGGTTAGATAATGACGATTGCTTTAAGAAAATATTTAAATACAGTGACTCAACGATGTCAATAGATGACCTTCGTGGAATGTTACCATCGACGTTTACAGTAGAAGGTTCAGCAGGATTGCTTACAAGATTGTCAATTGGTGGATTTGGTCTCGTGAGAACATTGTTATAAAATCCAGTATAAGTGAATTTGCTGAAGAATCTATATTATGTCTTTCAAACTACATGTATTCGCCGCCGAAGCATTATAGTATAACAAACTTTGTCAGTAAGTTTAACATAAGACTTGTCGAACCTTCTTCAATGAAAGATGTTGTGCTACCTAAAGATGGAAAGGATGGACTCATTATTGAGATGATTTTAATTGCATATTAAATGAGCTTGTTCTTGAAGGTCATTCATGATGAAATAACTGTTGTAGAAGATGTTAGCAATTGTTCAGACATTTTGAAGCGTATAGATGATATAAGAAAGAAGTTAGATAGACCGCAAAGTGGTGAGGGCGAAGCCCGTGAGAATGTTTATGTTTCATTGACTTTCTCCAGTAACGAGAACTTTTATGAGATAATATTGAAGAGAGATGATTTTAATATGGGTAAATGGTAGCTTGGGCAGCTTTAGGCGCAATGGGAACAAAAGCATTAGCATTTGGAGCAAAAGCACTTGGAGCTTATGACGCAGTAAATAAAATGAGTGGAGGAAGGGTTTCAAAGACATTAGATGCAAATAAAGGAAAGATTGGAGGCTGGGTTGCAAAGAAGTTAAGATTAAATAAAATAGGGCTCATAAATAAAGCATCCAATTTGGTTGCGACTGAGTCAGAAAATGCTTTAGGAAAGGACGATGAGTTTGCAAAACACGCAAAAGACTTTAATGACCAGATGAAAGGTGAAACAATGCATTTAAATAGAGTCGATGGAACTAAAGAAGATGTTTCTTCTCCACCAGTAGTTTTCCGTATGGTCCTATGGAATGTATGGAAACCCTTATGAAAGACCATTTGACCCATTGACTGGTGGAAGTAACTGGTATCATTACGGACGAAGAAGAAAGACAGTTAAGCTGGAGACAGACGTGAAGAAAGCAACTAAAAAGAAACCAAGGAAGAGAGTTATAAAGCAATGAATTCAAGGGTGAAAAAGAGGTGAAAAAAGAGGTGAGATCTCACCACTTCACCTAAATTTATTTTTGTGCTATGTTTTCATACGTGTGAGGGTGGTGATATTATTAATTTTTAAGTTTATTTTTTAAGTTTATTTTTATATAAATGACGAAAACTATTGAGATAACAAACTACAACGGTCATGAGTTCAAGAATTTGTTCTTCGTTCCTCGTGAAAATACATTCTATCAGATACGAGGGAGAAAGGGTAAAGTTAGTTTGAGCGTTTATGAACAATGAAGAATGGAAAGTTTATACAAGCATACGATACAAACGGTAAGCGTGTTTCATTAGCTTTGTCAAAACTTACTAACATTTATTTTGACAGTGATTTGACCTATATGAAGAAGAAGTGAGTCAGAAGATTATGAGCTGTTGTGTGAAGCACAGCAATGGGAAGGAGTTGCAATACTTTTGTAAGTGAGAACGTTTATTTTTACAGTAGTGAGGTGAAGTGGTTGGCGGCTTTGTAAATATTTAAGGTTAGTTGGTGTTGTCGTTTGTGTTGTAAAATATACGTTAACGGTTTTGTAAAGTGTCCACAAAGTATTGCGTTCGGAGGAACCAGTGCCACCATACCGAGAACTTAGTTAGCTAACTATATCTTGTTCTGCTGTTTCTTAAGCAAAGGATGAGAGGCGAATCATCTAAGAATAAGAAGACACCTATGAGGGTAAAATGTCTTCCATCGTAAGATTGCATTTCTTCGAAATGTATTCTATCTCTTTCTGTTTTGTTTCTGAAGTGTTTCTTCTCTAACCCATATTCTCTGCATTTCCTCATTTGGGTCTTTAACTTAGAATTTATATCTCATTTAATGATTATAACTTCAAAACTCTTCTTTTGGTACTTCTTTTATCCAATCTAACAACTCAGAGTCTTTTACTACATACTAACTTAGACTTTTTAATAATATCTTTGAACGAATTGACGTTTGGTCAAATTGACCAGGAAAGTCGAAACAAATAACAACTAAACTCATGAATGGGGGTTCTTCTCATCTAGTTCTTGTTGTTGTGCAGCCATTTTAAGATAAGTTGAAAGTCTTAACCGACCCAGGTGGTGCATTAGACCTGTTATAACCATTCTAGCAAATAAGAACTTGCTCATGTAATAGGCTTTTATCTGAGCATTTCTAACTTCCCTTGTTCTTGTTAAAAAAACATTCTAAATTTCTTGTCATGTCAGCAAACTTTTTT